GATTAACCTCCTCAACCACTTGATTAACTACCATGTGCTCACCTTCGTTCACTACACGTAGTAACAATGCCATGTTTAACATGATGCGGAATATAAAACATGATGCTCGATGATGGATGCAAAAGTAATAACTTGAATACAACTTTCCTTCGCGGTACAGTTACAAGTCAAATTAACTAAACCTTGTTCGTAATACTTACATCAATTGCCAAGGATTATTACCAACTAATGACCCAAGGTCATCACTCAAATCAAAAATTCAATCAAAACCTAAATCATTAAATGTTACTATTTGCTTTTATGAATTAATTATCTAATTAAAAATTATGAAATAAATCAACTTGTTCCAATTGAGCTCAAAATTTTTATAAATGTTCCACACATGATAACTAAGTGGCAAAACAATTTTCATAATTTTTGGATAATTAAATAAACCTAGAAAAATCTTGGAAACTTATTTATTAATTAATTGAGCAATTTTTATCACAGTCAAAAATTACTGAACAACAACATTTCATATTTTTCCTAAATAATATACATCACAAAGAGGTCACACAAAAATTTTCATAATTTTTGGAGCTCTAAATAAATCTACACAAAAATAACAAAAACTATCACTATTCATCCATTTCTGAAAAAGGAAAAATTCATTTTCAAACTGCTGCGTCACTGACAGCCGACCCCACATGTCATCTTCTACCTCCCGCGCTGACCACGGCGACAGCGGCTTTGACCGACGAAATCTTGCCGACGGCGAGGTCACCGGCGACTACAAAGGCACCAACACGATCACTACATCACGGCGCATCGATTGAAGGCACTAGCTTGAGCAATTACAGCGAGGCACGAGCTTGACGCCGTCCATGGCGGACACGGTGACGTGGCTGCGCTATGCCGGCGACGTGAGACCGGTAGCAGTTAAACTAAGCGCTTGGAAAGGATCAGTAGCTCACCCCGAACGTGATGGAGCAAAGAGCGAGGTCGGAGGATCAACGGAGATGCTGGCCGACGGTCACAGCGGCCACAGCGCTGTGATCAACGGCGACGGTGGTGCTCCGGTGACTGCGGTGGACAAAAGGAGCAATCAACCGGTCATAGAGCATCATGGAAACAAGGCGAAGCTGGAGGTACACTGAGCAAGAGCAACGGCTCACCGAAGAGAGCTGGCCACGACGGTGCGCTCACGACGGTGGTGCTGCCGGCCGTGAAGAAGAAACGCGACGAACGGTGGTTCTCGGTGGAGTCAAGCTTCAAGGATGGTTCGGCTGAGTGCGCAAGGAACAAGCGGAGCTCAGATGGTGCTTGGCCGAGGCTGGTTTGCGCTGAGGAGGCGATGCGAGCTCGACGGAGCTATGGCGGCGGCGTCAGAAAAACAGAGGAGGAGAGAAGAGAAGAACGGCGACGGTGAAGGCCATATAACGTGGCTCAGAAGCAAGGAGAAGCCACGTAGGGGCCTTTTCCGCGCCAGCGCGAAGCTGAGGATGGCCACGCGCGCGCCTAGAACCGAGAAGAAGGCCGCCGGCGATGTAGCTAAAGCGGCGAGCACTGTTCCCCATATTCACAGAATTTCCATCCAATTTGAAACTCAAATTACTCCCAAATTTATGTAACAACTCAAAAATATCCAAAAATAAAAGTTGTTCAAAATCAAAAGTTCTACAACTTTGCTTTTATAACTACCCCCTAATTCGGTCTATATTTTGAAATGCAAATTTGAATTCAAAAAGGGAATATTTAAAGAATCACGCCTTTTCAATTTACTTCAAATTTTATTAAACAACTTAGAAAACTCCAAAAACCAACTTTGTACAAATCGACAAGCTCTACATTTTTTCTTTAAGGCTCAACCCCAAAATGTACTTCGATTTTGAATTAGGTTTTCGGGTAAAACAAATCACTGGAAAACAGGGTTTTCGGAAATCCAAATCCAAACAAAACTTTGAACTTGATCCAAACCATACATGGCAACACTTATAACATAAATATAAACTTGTTTTAGTGAATGCAAAACAAAGTTTTCACCAAGGCCAAATGCTTTGCAATGCATATGATGACATGGCAGGTTTTAGTATTTTAAACACCCGATGTGTTACCCCGGCCCGCGGTGTCCTCTGGCATAATTACAACAAACCAGAGTGTCTTCTAGCATACAGCTCCACCTTGAGTGTCCGCCAGCAAACGACCACCATTGTGGGTTTTCGCTAGCCCATTTCCCCTATTTTATTTAGAGACAACAATGATGACCATGGGCATAGCTTAATTGGAAGTGTTCTGCGGCCCAATGCCGTGGATGTAATTAACGGGAGACCTCTAAAGGCTCCAGGAATCAGAAACTACACAATCCTCTGATTGTCAGATGAAACTAGCCGTAAAAATATATTAAAGTCGGAAATTGTACTTTGTAATTCTCCGATGAATGAATAAAGTCATGTTCCCTGAATTTTTGTTCTTTGTGTTTATTGCATATTTTACTTTATTTTGTATACAGATATATACTGGCACGCCTGCGCATATTTAGTCCTAAGTAGTATGACCCCTCCGCGAAACAGAGATCTGCCTTAGTGATTTTTCTCGCGAAACAGGGACCTCAAATGATTTCAAATGAAAAAGTCATCAACTACAAAGTTATAGTTGTCATCGAGATCTACATCTTTGGTTTTGATTGATTTTTCATCCGAGGTCGTTTGAAAAAATTGAATTTCAAAATTTTAGAATTTCATATACAAATTTGAGACCATAAATGATTTATAATGAAAAAGTTGTCAACTACAAAGTTATAGATCATATCTAGATGTATAACTTTTCTTTTCGTCGTTTTTCTATCTGAGGTCGTTTGTACGATTCAAAATAATTGAATTTCTAAATTTGAGAGCTTCAAACAGAATTTTGGGTGAGTAAATGATTTAAAATGAAAAAGTCATTAACTACAAAGTTGTAGATATCGTCGATATCAACAACTTTAGTATAAAATTTGTTTTCATCTAACTTTAATTTGTTTGAAAAATATGTGAATTTTTATTGTGATGCTCGCAAAAAAAGAGAAATGCTATGTGTATAACTTCGTTGTATAACTTAGATATATAACTTGACGAATGTCTTAGACGTAAAGTTAACCATATGAGTTATATTCAAGAGCTTAGATGTATAAATTAATATGATAATATATTAGCAAAAATGTAAAATTGTGTACGAAATAACTTGTACAAAAAATAAAAGGTAAAAGAAAAAAGTAGAAAATAAAAAAAGAAGAATGATGGACGGACCTACAGTTAGTAACATGCCAACGCGTGTCCTACTCGAACGTGCCAGCTCTACGTAACTGAATAGATAACCGCAGGCTAGGAAGCCTCCGTACGGCTGGACGCTCATGTGTCGGATTGTTCGCTGGACTAGGAACGAATGAACGCCCGTGGAAATGGAATTTGTCATGGAGACACCCGTCAAGCCTGTAGATCAGAGCACTCAAGTTTTGGTACTGCAATTAGTACCGGAGGCAACTAAACCTGACAAGAACATCACAAAGAGCTGCAGTTGGCAAAAGCAAACACTCATGCAAGCATCTGAATACTAAAATGTAATCTCCTCTATTTTAATTTATAAGACATATTGTCCTTTTCAAATATATTACTTTTACAATAATGATGATGTAAACTGGGATCAATGAAAAAATAATCAGGTGGGGAGTCTTTCCAACCCCCGTTGACACTAAAACAAATATATCTTTTTTTACAATAAATCTATAAAAAACAAAAACGTCTTATAATTTGAAATTGAGAAAGTAGCTAGGAATAAGTGCCGCATAAGTTACCATGCTGCCACGTAGGAAGAATTAAACTAAACATTTGCTAGCACAGAGACCCGATAGCACTACAATGATATGCAAATGTTGTTTAGGTACCTAGACGAGTGTTTAGAAAGTTTAGGGACCAAGATACCATATAATGCACAAGTTTAGAGACTGATAGTGTATACTTTACTCTTTGGTCAAATTTAGCATGGTATAGTTGATGCTTAGCACATTGAATAGGGGTATGGATGCTTACTACGAGCGTGGCATTGGTTACGGATCTCGCATGGGTAGTTTATAACGAAACTACACGTATGGGTATATATATATATATATAGGGCCTGCCTGTTGTGTCATACTATAAAAAAAGAATTAAAAAAGGGAAGAGTTGTGGGACATGGCTGTCATGCCACCGCCATGTCGGATGAAACCAGTTTGATTTGAGTTGGCAAGCAAAAATAACTATTTTTTTTATCGGGTACAACTTAGACGTAGATAACTCACACACTTCACACTTACACTACACGCACACACACGCGTGCACGTTCATACACACGCAAAGAAGAGATTGGGATGCTCTCCAACCTTCAGTGCGTGGGAAACGCATAGTAGCACCGAACGTGCAGCGTACGTGTACTCTAAAATTTCTGGAAAAATTCCAGCAAAGGTGCGAACATCAGGGTAACCCTGACCGGTAGCGTCCCACTAGATTGTCCAACCACCGGACCACAGGCACATTCGGGAGAGTAGAATGTCTAGGTCAGTATTTAATCAAGAGAGATTTCTTTTTAGAGAAATTTAATCAAGAGAGATAAATAGGACCCTTTTTTTAGCTGGGCTTACCGTTTGGTGCAAGAAGAAATCATTGGGCCGCCTACTGATTTGAGCCCATCCGAGGCTAAACCCTGCCTGAACCCTCGTCCCCTCTTCCGTTCCATTTCCTTGGCTTCGCTTCGCTTCGCTTTTGCTTGTAGGCGAAGCAAGAGAAGCCCCCACCTTCCGTCTCCAATCCAATCGATCGGCAGCCCCGCGAAGAGGAAGAGGAGGACGCGACGAAGCGAGGGCTCCTCCCCTCCGCCACCAACAGGTAACACCAGCCCTTTACAGCCGCCGCCGCCGCCTACCTAGATTGCTCCCTCCCTCGCCGGACCTTGAGAGCCCCTTCGATTACACTTCATCTTCAGGTCCTCCACGCGCGCTCTACTCGGCCAGGATGGCGATGGCGGACAAGCTTGACCCTGAGGCCGCCGGCGCCGGCAGCGCGGTTCTCTTTCTGCTCTCCTTTGCGCTTTCCGATTCGACGCTTCGTTTTTGCGATTGTTTTGTTTCCCTTGCACTCCTCGGCGTGGCATTAATCTAATCTGCCCGATTGATCCCCGTTTGATTTCTAACAATTTCTCGTTCTTCCTATTTTTCCCCATTCACATATGACAGTTTTGTTTGCATTAATCTGCGGAGTTATTTATAACTAGTAATACGCTTTGATTTCATTCATTTACCTTCACAGATGACAGAAATTGAGCTAACAGATGGTTATCGCCTCGAAGCTGATGTCATTGCTTCTGATTCTACTGGGAGACCACTACTAGCACCCGACAAAAATCAATTGGCTGATGTGGGAAAAGGTGCCCCTTATGGTTAGTCTACTTATCCTGTTTCTGGAAATAAAAGAAACCCAATGCAATCATGTCTTTTTTTTTTCTTATGGAGAGGAAAACAGACTTTTGCGTCTTTATTTGGCCCATCCCAGTTGTCACACTGATTCTACAAGTTACAGATATTGCAACATACTATAACAAAATGTGACATTCTTCTATCCTCTGCTTCGGACAGGACAATGCAGTATGCGAAATGACTTCCCCGGGAACATCTGCATCTGTCAATCCTTCCATACTATCTTCAAGCCAGGTGGTGGAGGTGAGGCCTTATGTTCTTTATAGCCTTCAATCATCCATTTGGGATTCATGGTCATTTCAACATTAACTTTTTAGATATGGAATGATATGGAGTACTTTATTTTTCAGATGACTGGCAAGGTTGCAACAGTCAAGCAACCAGTTGCCTGTCTGCCTGTTTGGAGGTATCTTCAGATTCAGGAATTTCTGCATATTCAAAGCATGCAACCAAATCAATGGGAGGTACACCTTTATCCTCACCTTCTCTACTGCTGGACATCAGATTTTTTCTGCTTTCTCCATGATTTTGCCATTTATTGAGGTTTGTTGCATGCATGCTTCACATTAAGTGTTGATTAGGTTTTTCACTTATAGGGGACAATTGTCGTCGTTGTTGATAATACATTGCTTCCATTTCTTTCATGGAACCATGATGGCTAACAAAACTTGATTGTATATGTTTAAATCAGATTCTGCTTGCTGATTTCGAGCCTGTTGTACAGCCAGCAGGGTTTAGAAAACACCAGAAACCATATCCAAGTGTTGACTAATGACTAGATTTGTTCACTTCTAAAGGGACTATTGCTGTCATCGTTGATAATGGATCACTTGCAATTTGTTCATGAAATGTTGTGGCTAGGAAAATATTTTTTTGCATATTTTGATCAGATTTTTCTTGCTCGATCCTGTCACCCAGTGTTTAGAAATAACACAGAATCCACCCAGTGTTTAGAAATAACACAAATGATACACAGTCCCTCCTTATAGCTAGTAGATACAGAAACATTTTGTATTATATTGTGCCATGATGTTATTCACTCTTGAATCTTGGTCAACTTTAATTTGGTTCAGGGATCTTGATGAATGCATAACATAGGAAACAATATTTGTTCGGTTCATGTAATCTGACTGAAGCAAGAACTGATAAAAGATGGGGTAGATGCTTATAATTCCAGTTAATAAATTTGTTACTCTGTCTTAAGGTTACTTCACTTCTCCGTCATTTTTCACATGATTGTTAGTTGTTATTATGCACCAATTTTAGACATTGTGTCATTTTGTTTCCTGGGTCCCCCATTTTTTTTTTGAGCGAAGGGTCTCATCATTGGTCCTTGCTTTCAATTTAATGAGTATATCGGCTAATGAAGTATGTGTCTGCGTATGTCCTATAGGAGTATAGGTAGGTGAGTTGCAATATTCTTCTCTACATAATCATTCATTGATTTTCAAATGTTGGGTCTCTTCTAGGTAACTCACATGACCAGAAATTCCTGGAAGAATTTCAATTAGTACCATAATTATTTTGAGGGAAACTGGAGGGGTTTACACCCCTACACAATGTTTTCAAGTCGTCCGATTAATCGCGATTAATCACGATTACTCATCCTAATCGGTTCCTGGTGTTCGATTAGGAGGTCCGACTTGATTAGCTCGACCAGAAACCTGGTCGTTCGATTAGTCGACCAGAAATCGTGATTAGTCGTCCGACTAGGACAGGGACGACCAGTTTGGTTACTCTGTTTTTTGGCCTGTTTAATTGGGCGAACACGTGGGCTACTGGGCTTGCAGTTTGGCCTGTTAGGGTTAGAATATTTAGCAAAAAGGATTGTTAGCCTTTGTTGCGCTGCATCTGGATGCGAGCGTAGTTGGAGTGAATTTTTTGCTGTAAGTGCTAGTGTACTACTGCTGAGTAATTAAGTATGGTAGTAATATTGATATGTGATTCTGCATTATATTTTGTGTAGGTCCATACAAAAAAGAGAAATCGATTAGAGCACTAAAGGTTAAATAAGTTGGTATATGTCAGTTACAACCGCAGGATGGAAAACAGATTTAAAAAAATTAGAGAGCCGGGTTGCAAAGGAAAGAGATGCAATCCACTCTTGCTTGATGAATTTCATTGAGAAAATGAATGGGTCAATGAAAATTGTGAACCCGAACTAGTTCAGGAAGGTGGTGGCGATGCTATGACTTGGGCTGTTGTGGATGAGGCTATTGGTGCAACTCAGGTTCCAGAGGGACGTAACTTGCCTAGGGCTGCTGCTACTCGTGCTGCTGTTGCTGCCCCTGTGAGGCGTACTTATGCTAGGAACAGGAAGCGTCCAAGGAACACAGTGACTCAAGATATTGATGAAGTTGATGATGAAGACCAAGATCAGCATGTAGATTCAGCAATAGCAATGGAGGAGGATGAAGAATCTGCACCAACTGAAACTGGAGATGGACCAACTGGAGATGGAGATGGAGGCTTCAATTTTAATGTTGATTTGCTTAATTAGATGGCTAGTTGCCTACTTTTGTTGGACTGTTAAATGTCAATGGTCTGCTATGTGCTAACTGCTAAATGCTAGTTATTTGCTACTGCAACAGTGCTTGCTAATGCAGTAGTGCTGCTGTTGAGCTGTGTCAAGATCAAGACTACATTAGTGTTGCTAATTATAGTCTTCTTTGGTATTTTAGGCTTTCAGCAGCAAGTCAGCAAAGAAATGGAGTTTGGGATAGGAATATGGACCTCTAGACATGGTAGAAAAGAGAAGAAAACAACTCCCACAAGTAAGTCACCAGCTAAACACTAATGTAGTCTTGATGCTTGCTTTATTGTGTATACTATATAGTATATATAGGTATATATTTAGTAGGTATATATGTCCTGATATATAGGACGACCAGGGGTCGACTAGGCTCGACTAATTGACCTGGTCGACGACTAATCGCGATTAGTCTCCTGGTCGGTCCCATGGCGACTAGGTTCGACTGGACGACTTGAAAACATTGCCCCTACAGTGAATTTTATTGAAATATAGAATAAACTTAAACATAGGGTTACAAGGTAGTTCAAGAAACAAAGAAAGAAACAAAAAAAATAAGAGAAATTAAATAGATTAAACAAGACTGTTTAACCATTGTTCAATTGAAGGGAAATAGCTTCTTTTTGCGCGTAAAAGAATCAACACAAATTCTGATTTGAATGCTCTTTTTGTGTCTTCCACTGAATGTTGCACCTGATTGAAGATTAGTCCATTTCTGGCCTTCCAAATTGACCACCCCATTAAGATGATGATTTCTATGAAGAAAGGGACTTGTAACTGAACTCTGAAGCTCTCAATGTTTTGAAAAAAGGTCAGCTTGTGGAGAGATATGGCAGTTAAGCCATGCCCAACAAGTTTGAGCAAAGGGGCAGAGAAACATGAGGTGCATCCGAGATTCTTCTACTGCATTACTGCAAAGGACACAGTTATAGTCTTGTAGGTCCATGTTCTTCCTCCTAAGCAATTCCCTTGTACTCAGCCTGTCCTTTATGATGAGCCAGGCAAACACCTTATGTTTGTTTTGACAATTACTGTGCCAAATCCATTTGAAACCTGGATGAATAGTGTTGTGTCCACTAAAATGCTTGTAGGCTTTTGCAACAGAAAATTTGCCTGAACTCCAGAGAAAAGTCCACAGATCAGGCATATCAGTTAGCACTAGTTGTTGGATATCCAATTCCAGCTGCAGTAGTTGTGAGTAAGGCTGTTGGGAAAGGGGAAGTTGAAAGAGGTCTAACAGAGAAGTGGCTTGTTTTGCTCTTGCCAAGGTGATTGTCTTTGTCTTCGCAAAGGAGAAAAGTTCTGGAAATTCTTGCATGGGCACTGTTACCCCAAAGGTCCAACCAAAGATATCAAGATTTTCCATTGTTTATGCTCACCTTTGCCATTCCCTTGAATTTATCTAGTAGCTTTAATATATCTCTCCACCAGAATGATCCTTTTCTCGCCTGTGTTGGTAGGTTATCTGAATCATAGTAACTTTCCTAGATCAGTGATACCCATGGAATATCTTCTCTGTTAAAGAACTTATTTAAATGCTTGAGAAGCAAGGCTTCATTTTGAGTTTTCATGTTTATCACTCCCGAACCTCCTTCCTCCTTTGATTTGCATACTGCTGTCCAAGCTGCTTTTGGTCTTTGATTAGCATTGATGTCTGCCCTCTCCATAGACAAAGCTTTCTATATTTGTCAATCTGGGCAATTACAGTGGGATGGATGGCAAAAGTGCTCATGCAAAATGTTGGGAATGCTGAAAATACCGAATTAGTCAATTGTAATCTTCCAGCTTGATTAAGGAATGTTGAGGTGGCAGCCAATCTCCTTTCACATGTACTAACTAGTGGAGAAAAATCAATGACCCTTGGCTTAGTCAGACTTAAAGGCAGTCCCAAGTATGTGAATGGAAGACTGCCTTTATCACAATTGAATGTTCTTGCTAGATGTTGTAGTCTGTCTTCTGAAGTGTTGATTGGAACCAAGATAGATTTTGAATAATTTACCTTAGTCCTGTTGATTCACCAAATGAGTGCAGTAGAGTAGGGCTTTCAGAGTTAGCAGCTGTCTGTTACATGCTTCCATGATGATTAATGTGTCATCTACATATTGGACTATTGGAAAGTCTTCTGATGATCTTAGAGGTAATGGCAGGTTCAGAAGGTTCATGGATTTGGCTCTATTTAGGACAGATTGAAGGAGATCTGCCACCAGAACAAAGAGTAATGGAGATAGTGGATCTCCTTGCCTTACCCCTCTTTTGCATTGGATTGTCTTGCCTGGAACTCCATTGAGGACGATTGAGGATGTTCCTGAGGAGAATAATTCTTTAATCCATTTGATCCATCTTGTGGCAAAACCGCTCGAAATAACACACCTTCGGAGGCGCTCGTCTTCCACCAGACACTAAGCACCCTGAAAGTTAGCTACATCGGACTGTTCCGTCAAGCACACTCTAAGGGAGAACTCGAACAATCCACGTTTTTCATCCAGGACCCAATAATGTGAACGAGCTTACAATACTTAATCCATTTCATACAACCAGAGTTCTTGGAAATACATTATTACAATACCAAGTTCAGAGTGCAGAATTTAAACAGAGGAATTAAAATAAACATCTAACGATAAGATACAATGATCTGTCTGTGCCCGCCAGAAGAATCCTCCACACAACAGTCACTCCTCAAGCTGCACCTGCAATAGGGGTAAATAAACCCTGAGTACACAATGGATGGTCCTTAACCGACACGGACAGAGAAAACAGTGTAACAAAGCTATGCCCCATTGGCCGCGGAACACAACTTATTACACCCACCAATACCCGTACCATATCCCTGTCCGGTCTCCATTTCCTTTTACCATTTAATCATGAGAGTAATAATAATAATCACATATTGTGAGTAACGACAGGTTACTCATGCTACCAAAAAACCTAAGCATAGCAGCTACTCGTACCTATACTAGTAGGACTCATAGGGCAGATATATTTATGCAGGTGGTTTCCATAAAATGCCTGTAACGTAAATGCACATCACAGATATATATATTTAGTGATTATTCAAAATAAGTGTTATGCACTGGGGCTTGACTTAGGCAGGCGGGGTGTCAGCTCAGTCAGCCAGTGGCAGCTCCGGGACCTCCTCCTGCACGAGGATCTCCTCGTACTCCTCGATCACCCCCTCGAACTCGTGATCTCTGATGGCCACGAACTCCACCAATTCGTTCTCTACATGCATGCGATGATGCAACACGTTAATATTAAGGCAACAACAATTCTTAAAATAAGAATACATCTACTAAGCCACTAAGCTAGATCTAATGGTTAAGATACTAACCATTTCCACAAAAACAGGTATGGATTCATCTAACAGTTATTAACTTAGCAACTAAAATATAATCTTACTTTTATTAGCGATTTAACTTATATTACCACAAGGAGCACCTAACTACGCTAGTACTTAGCCTATTCTAAGGCTACAAAAATTACAGCGAGCACATAATAATACAATAAATCTACTGTAAAAATTTCAAGGTCAATGCTATTACCAATTTGCCACAAAAATTCTTACAAATACTAATTTTAATAATACTAAACACTCGCAAATGATTTAATAAGCCTTAGCATCAACTCAGACCTGCATCATCTAATCATACCATCATATAGACAACATTTTCAGGAACTCAACAAAATTTATTTCACAATTTTTGGACACCTATGTGAATTGATATTAATTTTCAAAGTTCAACTCAGAATGCAAAATATAAAACTATTTCTAATTCCTTAAGAAAAAGAAAAATGAATTCTCACTCCGTGGCCCACCACCACGCGGCCCACCGCGAGATGGCCCACGACGGGGCGACCCACACGCGCGCTGCCAATTTTGCAAAAACGCCCCCTCGCTACAGACAAATCAACCCGGGTTCTGCAGCACTATTCTCCGAGAGAGGCTATGCAAAAAGGACCTCGCAACTATCCTCTTTTACCACGGCCAAGTCCTTGGCCAGCCCTGCGCGTGCCGGCGCTGCGAGCACGGCAATGGATGGCCACGCCAGCCAACTAAGGCATGCAGCGGCCCCGCTAGCGGGCCGACCTGCATCTATTGTCCTAGCACCTACACTAGATGAAGTTACGGGAGCAGCAGAGCTTGCGGGAGCGGTGGCCACGGCGAGCGGCCACGTGCGACGGTGGCACGGCCGTACCTACCATCCTAGACCACCGCGTAGCTATTGGCTAGCGCGTGAGCAACCCCAGCTTACCCCGGTCACAGTTGTGGTGATGTTTGAGGGAACGGTCAGTGGATAAGGGCTAGCCGCCCGCGACCGGAGGGGTGCGGCGGCGCTCCGAGACGGCGAGGCGGTAGAGGTGCAAGCGAGGCGCGTAGGGTGAAGTGGAGGTGGAGGCAAATCTCGTGAGGCAAGTGGATTGGCGTGGAGTGGTGCGGTGGGTGACTGCCCTCGTCCACGGCCGAGCCCGGCCTTAATGGCATGACGGAGGGAAAACTCCAAAATTGGAGCTTGATAGGGCTCGGTTAGGACCGTATGTGGACTTGGCACGTAGCTAGGTTCCTTAATTGACATCTGGCACAAGTAATTGTACAGAGATCAACCGGGCGCTGCAGGATCAGCTTCGACGCGATGCAGCCTCGTCTGCCCGCCTTCAATGGCGATGATGGCTCGACGCCGGCGGTTTCCATTTAATGGAAGATGACAAGGGCGACATGGTAACCGGCTACACGTGTTGCGCAGAGCGAGGCCAGCAACGCGTGGAAACTCTGCGTCGCCTCGGGGAGCGGCTAGTTGCTAATGAGGACACGCACGCGTGTGGGTGTCGCAGCGGCGCTACTGGACAACGCGGCACCAGGGTAGAACGTGCGCATTCCTGTGGTTACAGGCTCGACCATGTGCTGCTACAGCACCATGAGCGGGACAACGACGAGCAGCGGGACCCGAGGAGGGCGGTGCGCACAGCAGCAGCGA